CCCGCATTTCGCCAGGAGTCACACACAACAACCACAGCCCACAGCGGTCTCGCAACCCCTCTCTGCCACGCGTGTCCAGGGAGCGAGCCAAGCCCCCGCAGCACAGGGAGAGCCTGGCTGGAGCCACCCTGACCCTTTCAGCGATGGAAACGCTGGTCCCTGTGCCATGTTCCCAGGTCCCGCCAGCCCTGCCCTGCAGGCAGAGCGGTTGGGGCTGCGTGCCCAGGGAAAGCACCCGCATCCCAGCCCGGGGTGGCCGCCCAGCTGGGATGGAGAAAGTATTCAGAAGGCACGAACCAACTCCCGCCGCCCCCCGGCTCCGCTTCCCCCTCCGCAGCCGTACCTGGCTCCATCGCCCTGCCCCGGGCAGCCGCCGCCAGCAGCAGCCCCGCCACGACCTGCAAGAGCGGCCGCATCTTCCAGGCCCCCCCCGCGCGGGGGTCCCACCCTGCGGGACAGGCAGGGTTGAGTGAGCGATCCGGGCGGGCAGTCCCCTCCTCTCCCGAGGCACCGGGGAGAAACAGCGCGAGGTCCCCAGGTCACCGCGAGGGTGGGTGGGCATGGACGGGAGGCAGAGCACGGGGGTCCCTGGGCAGGAATGGGAGGAGGCACGGAATGGGAAACACCCCGTTTGGGTGTCGGGAATCCGACCTCTCTTGCCAGCGGCAACCCGGTCAGGGCGCTAGGGGAGGTTAACCGGGGGCGGGGGACCGCGGGGGATCCCAGGGAGGGGGACAGTATCCCGGGACGGGGGGGCCCGAATGGTGCCGGGGGCGAGGGTCGCGGTCGGCGTGGTTACCGGCGGTGACTGGCTCCTGCGGCGGAGCCGCCTGCGCTGCGCGGGCCGGGGCAAAGTCCGGGGACAGCGGGCTCAGCGCCGCCGAGCCCCACACCGTGGCCCCATGGCGGCAGGGCCGGGGACGGCTCCGGGCTCGGGACGGCTCCGGCTGCGGGCAGGGCTGGGGCTCGCTCCGGGCTGGCTCCGGCCCCGCTCTGCCGCCGCCTCGGGGGCGCGGGCACTTTGTAGGGACGCGCTCGGGTTACAGCGGCCCCGCCCGGAGCGCTGGGGAGGCGGGAGGGGGGAACGGGGACCGGCCTCGCTTCTCCGGCATCTCTGCAAACCGACCTGCCGCCGAGCTGGACGGGGGAAGTCGGGGGATAGCACCGGCCTTTCCCCCCGCAGCAGCGAGAGGCGGCCCCCAGCCCCCTCCATCCCGGCTCCGCCGGCGCAGCCTCCCCTCGCGGGTGAGGAACGCAGGGGGCTGCAAAACACCCGGGGCTGCTCTCCTGCGCTGTCCTCCAGGCAGAACCCACGCGTGGGGAGCAGCAGATGGGACAGGGGGCAAGGCCACCCCCGTTTCCCCCCGATTGCTGGGAGTGGGAGCACTCCAGCCCCAAGCAGGTGTCGTGGCCCAGGCTGGGCGCTGAGCGTTGCTGGGTGCCCAGCAGCCCACACGCTAATTGTGCCATAATTAGTTGTAGCTTATCGCTGTCAGTGCCATAAAGTGGCTGTGACCCTCATTAGGAGCCCATAACGGAGTGCCATAAAACGTGGCTAAGGTGCGAGCCAGCGTTGGAGTGGCCTAATCCAGCCCATAAACACTTCGCCCTCACCTTCCCTATGCTGTTGCCTGTGCTGGGGCAGGCAGACCCCACCATGCCCAGGCCTTGCTGCTTGTTGGCCCATGCAAGACCCCTGAGCACTGGGGGAAGCCTGGCCTCAGACACTCTGAGCCGGTGTGATCCCAAGGAAAAATGTCCCCTGAGCAGCCTGCTGCCATCAAGAGGGGTCAGTGTCCCTCAGTACATGGCCAGGGTCTGGCCCTATAGCTGCTCTCCTTTGCTGTATCGCCATCTGCTTTGCCACCTGCTTTCCAGCAAGATCTTCCAGGGCTGTGCTGAGCCCCACACACAGCCTTGCCCATGCTTGGCGTGGATCTTGAGGCCCTGTGAGTAGGGTACACTGTCACTGTCACCCCTCGTTTTGTAGGGCCACACCACAAGTCCTGGGCACAGCCTTGTCCATACTGCTCCACTGTGCCAAACCATCCAGCATGACACGGTTTCACTGTGAGGTCTGGTAGGTGCTACAGTCTTCCATAGCACCATCCAACCTGTGCTGCTCCCCATCTGGAGTACTGGTGTCCCCTTGGGGTGCAGAGGTGCACAGAGCAGTCCCGGGGGCTAGCAGCCCCCAGCAGCTGTTCATTCCTGCTGACGCGTGAAGTGGACGAGAACATCAATTTCACGGAGCAGCAGCCGCCCCTGCAGAGTTCACAGCGTGCCGGAAGCACAGAAAAATGTTGGGTTCAGCTCAATTCGAACCAAAACCAAATTAAAACCAGAAAGAAGGGGACGTTCCCAGTACTGGGAACACCAGGGAGAGCTGGGACTCCAGGGAGCCTGTGGGAGCCACAGCCTGGGATGAACATGGAAAGATTCCCTGTATCCCAGGGTTCCCCAATGCTGAGTGCAAGAAGGGCAAGCAGACCAGTGTGGGAACGTTGCCCAGTGTCACACTGAACATCCCCATTGGGCCAGGACAATGCCAGGCACAGGCCAGGGCTTGGTGGGGCTCTGCTGTAGGCAGCTGGGAATTAGTTACCTCCCGGTCTTGGGGCAGTGCTGGGCTGGGGCTGGGCTGCCTGGCTTGATTTATAACAGCAACTGACTGCAAACAAAAAGCCCTTCACAGCAGCCCAGCCCCGCCGCCTGCCACCCGCTGCCGGCAGCACCACAACGGCCTCTGCCACACCAGCAGCTCAACAAGGGGGGGATTGTGCCAACACAGCACTCTGCGCTGTGGGTGCACCCCTGCCCCAGCGCCCTCCTCTGGTGCCCCTGTCTCCCCCAGCTCATGGGCTGCCCCCACCACTGTGGCACAAGCGATGTGTGAGCCGTGGTTACTTAGCTCAGACACAGCGGGGTGCCCAGAGATTCAGTGTGTTCTCAGAACTCCACAGACAGCGCAGAGGGATCCCTCTTGCCCCATGTCCCACTGGGAGAGACGACCCCCTGGCCAGACCCTTGGCCTTGCTTACGTGTGCGGGGCCCCGCGGCAGTGAGCACGCACAAGGGGCCGGGCGCCGGCGTGCTGGGGCTCCATCCTCCCGCCCCTGCCCCTTCCCCCAGGCAGTAAATCATCCCCACTCTCCTCATGAAAGGCCCATGTATGTGCTGCCGGTGCAGGGAGCCTGCCTGGTGCCAACAATATTGCTCTTGGAAGGCAGCCGGGGCTGCGGGAACACAGCCGCCCCTTGTGCCTGGCCCCAGCACTTGCCGCCACTCCCGCTGTGGTGGCACCTGCGGCCAGCCAGAGCCCGCGCAGCACGGTGGCTCCTGTGGGGGCTGGAGCCTGGGGGGCTCTTTCCTCCTGGAAGTTTCTCTTGGCCTTCCCTGAACGGCTCTTGTTTGGGGCACAGAAGCCCCAACTCACTGTACTCTGTATGTGCATAGGATCTGAGGCTGAGCAGGCTCATTCCATGTGCTGGGGTGATGTGAACCTTCTGGCACTGAGGGAGTGGGTCAGCCCTGGAGCAAGGGGTGAGCCCCAGCACAAGGGCTTTCAGCTCCATCCAGTCCCACTGGCTTCAACATGGTAGCTTCCAGCCCCAGCCACAACCTGCTGCCCTCATATCAGTGGGGACCCGTTGAGGAAGGCAGGGGGCAAGCTGGACGGGCAGGCAGCTGCCCCCAGACTGGGCAGGGTGCCCTGCAGGGGCTGTGTCCTGCCATGGAGGCAAGCAGCCAGGTTCGGGGCAGTATGTCCCAACAGCCCTGGTCTTGCCTGCCCATCCTTATCTCTGGCTGGGAGGGACTGATGGAGCAACCCAGCTTGGTTAAGGTTTAACCAGGCAGAACTTGGCAAACATAAACCTGCTGCTCCCTCTGGGGAGCCAAGAATGTGGGGCCCAATGCAGGGGCTGCAGGACAGGGACACCAGGGGCCCAGGATTTGTCTAGCCTCCAGCATGGCACAGGAGCATCCATAGATCTGGGCAGTGAAGGCCCAGCAGGGAAAATACAAGTTGAGGGTGATACAGCAGGAGGGCGGGCAGTGTCATGCCTTGTCCCGCTGCAGCCCTGCCACCTCTTCCTGCCCTGGCCGTGTGGGGGAGTGCTGCAACCGCAGCTGGCACAGGGAACAAGGTGCATGGGGCCAAAAAGTGTCCTGCTCCCCGTGGGGACATGGCACACACCATGTGCTGGGCTGGGCACCACCGTGCTGATCTATAGGCCAAGAAAGCAGGATCTTTGCTCACCAGCCCTGTCCCCTGCACAACATTGGGGGTTCAGCCCAGTAAAGCAGCAGCCATGGCAAGAAACTGCAAGGCAAGAACGGGGCCACCCCAATCTTCCCAGCCCCTAATTGTAAGCAGGCACCCGGTCCTGACTCCACATCTGCACTTGATTTACTCAATGGAGCCTGTGGGGCCACGAGGGATGGCAGTGGCTGGGGCTGTGGCCAGGACTGAGCTTCTCCCGGCTGAGGCAGGGACCCTGGGTGTGCTTCTGGAGGAGCAACTGGCTCCACAGAGCTGGCTGTGGCCTGGGCAGGGGACTGTGGTGCTTCTGTGGAGGATGTGGCTGTTGGGTGGCTCTATGCTCTGTTCTGCGCCTGCCAGCCCAAAAGGCAACGGAGCTCAGACTGGTGAGGCAGCCGGAGCCCTGGCCCAGGGCAGGGAGGAGCAGAGCTTGGCCAACAACACACCAACAGCAGGGCACACCTAGGGATAAGGGCCATGCTCCATCCTCAGCCTCCTGGCCATGTGGGTGGCTCTGGTCCCACAGCCAGGCTCCAGTCCCCTCCTGTCATGCCTGGGGGTGCCCATGGGTGCTGGCATCCCTCTGAGAGCAGTCCAGCAGCAGGATGGGCAGCCCCCCAGAGGGGACAGGGAGAAGGTGGCACTACCAGCTTGCTGCCAAACCCTCCTTACACCAGATAGACACTTCCTCTCACACCGCACCCACCTTCACAGGAAGCAATTACACAATGAAAACTACTCTAAGGGAGTGAAGTATTTGCTGTCTAGCAAGTCTCTTCCAGCTGGATCCTTTTCCTGACAGATTCAGTCCCCGTTCTGCTCAACGGGTGTATACAGGAGGGTAGGGCTTTGCTTATCCAGAGGGATAATGAAACCATTGTGGGCTGGCAAAGGATGTGTGTTCTGGGGCCACCAACAACTCCAAGAATAGTGCTGCAACTTGCTCTAGAGGTCTTGGCTGAAGTAACTGTAGCCTCCTGGGCCAGTTGACTCTTCCCGGACATACTGTTGTGGCGGGAACGGTCCGACAACCGGCACTGCTCCTGGCATCCTGCACATTGAAGGGAGCAAGAAAAGAAAAAAAGGAGACAATGTCACAAATGCTCTGAAATGTGCCAGCTGCAATCACTGCTCAGCAGGCAAGGCTGTCAGCAGAGCAACAGCCTACTGCAGCCAAGGCAACAACTTGCCAGAAAATCTTCCAAGTGAATCCTTGCTCTCTGTGCCTGTGTGTAAACAGACACCTTTAGCATGGCAGAATTAGCTGAGGCAGAGCTCAAGGACTGCTAAAGAGCTCCCATTACAAAGCAAGCATCCTGCCTCTCTGCAGGCTGCAGAAGCTGGAACAGGACTGCACAGCTGAATCCAGAGCAGCATTCTGAAAGGGAGTTGTGTGGCTGCAACAGCTCCGACAACAGCAGCGTCCTTAAAGAGAACATTAATGTGTGTGCTGGGAACACCCTCAGTGTTACCTCTCTAGAATGGGATACTTCCTAGTCACTGATCTAGCTGTGCTGTTCAAGAGCTTGAACTTCCCTGGGATGAAAGATGTCTTCCCATCAAGTACTCCCCAGAGCTGAGGGACCAAGAGGCTGTTATTCCATAGACAGGCAACAAGAGATTCCAGTTTTCTTCCTGTTCCTTCTGGGGAATTTGGCTAGGAGCCTGCCCTCCCTTCAGGTAGGATTTCCTAATACCTCTCCCTTCGAAGAAGCTTTCTAACCAACCCAGGCTCATTACTGTGCCTCTTTTAGTGAAGACTCTTAAATTAAAGATTGGCAGTCTCCAGAACAAGTATTTTTGGTATTAATCATCTGGCAGCATAATTTTTTTCAATTAATAATATATGCAGGGGATGCCATTATTTAACTTGCCAGCTGTAAGAGTGAGGAATACAGTCCAGGTTTCTGCAGTGTGCTGACTATATGCCAAATTTTAAAACAAGCAATCCCAATGGAGATTAGAATTGCAAGCAGATCTCCACTGAGCCAGTCCTTAATTAAATTAAAATCTCAGTTGTTAAGAGAAACTGTGTTTAATAGGCGTCAGGTTCACTGCAAAGGTCTGTGCTGAGCTGAACTATTAGAAACCAAAAGCAACTGGAGGCACTTCCACCTCGGCAGCACGACTGGGCTGTCTGCAGAGGGAGCTCCTGGAGCAGTGTCAGGACACACAGAGAGCCTGCACAGACCCTGCTGCTCCGTTTGGAAGTCAGCTGGAAACACGTGTTCAAAACTGCATTTTAGGTTATATTTAGGTCATCAATTTGAACAGCGAGGCTGGAAACACACTTAGACAAGAACATTACTTACTGATTCTTGTGTTTGAAGCCACTGATGTGAGCTTGGTACTGCTCTATGGAGTTCAGCACTATGTTACATGTGCTGCAGGGGTAGCCCTTCCCAGCTGAAACAGACAGCAGTGTTAGCACACACAGCTAGCCAATCCCAGTGCCTGAGTTAGAAACAAGCAAGATACTCAATCACCTGATTTATTAAACAATCCTAAACAAAGACAAATAACAGTCAACAATCTGGCCAGGCAGGAGACCACAGAATCCCACTACCCCACCACACACCAGCCAGTCATTGCAAGGGAATCACTAAGCCAAAAAAGCTTTCCTGATCAGAACATGGTTTGTTCATCACTAAAAAACCACACATGTTGCCTACAAACAGTTTGCAGTATCAGGCATATTAAACTTTCAGATTTGGACCAAACCCCAAAGGCTATACTGCCTTTGCAACTCCATTTCTCTCCCATATTCCCACTTCTGCTCATCTGGACAACTCAAAACAGAAAATAAGAGATGCTGAATTTGTAAGCTTATAACATTTCAATAAAAAAGACAGCCAGAGGAGATTACACCGACTGTCCAGCTCCACAATGCAGCATTTTGCTAAGCCTTGCTGAGATGCCAACTGAGGATATTAAGCTCTGTCCTCAAGCAGTTTGGTTACAGTCAGTGGATCAGTTAACTGCCAGGAAAAAAAAAGTTTCCAACAATAGTGGTACTCGACAGGATCATTGGTTTTGTGTAACATGACAACTCCAGCTGGACTGAAAGTTCAGCAGGTCACAGATACCAAACAGGCAAGTACAGCAGCACAGGAGTCTCTAACAGGGAAAAATTCTGGCAGTTGTCCTCAAGACATTAAGCGTTCCTGAATTTTGGGTCACTGGGGAAGGGCTCTGCTTGGGACTCTCACAAGGAAAACAGTTCCTTAAGGTGAAAGAGGGGATGGACCCCCGGTGTGCAGAGCAGTAAATCAAACCAGGGAAACTCAATTCTGGATGTAGCAGACACTTTGCCACGTGGCTGCTGCACCTCAGGTATTTCAGAATCCAATGGGACACTCGGCTCTCAAAATGGAGCTGGATCTGGGCAGTAAAGGCCAGAGGAGCTGATACAGCCTTCAGGTCTGCTTCCCTGCACCATCAGTGTCAAGGTTTCTCTGTTGCAAACCCATCTAACAGGCACATGCACAAAGCTGCCTAAACTACACTCCTCAACCCCAAACCACTTGTTTCCAAAGAACTTTAAGTGGGAAACTACCTCAGTGTTGCATTTGCAAAGAACACATCTTTATCTGCTGCAAGTCAGGTCCCAGCAGAGAGTTTAGGGACAACTGCGGCTGTCGGCACACAGACACAGGCAAAAAGAGCAGGACAAAACATCCCTGACTGCAGCCCATCTCATCTGAGAAGCCCCTGATTATAGTCCAGGCTCTGAAATCTTTCCTGAAGAGCTGAAGTGCCCTGGAGATGAGACTGTACACATTCCTGTTCCGCTGGCACTTCTTGGGACACATCAATCACACAGGCAAGGGCACTGCCCACCTACCCAGGCAATGGCACTGCCCACCTACCCAGCTCGCCTGGGCTGGGGCTCCTGCCCCTGTCAGCGCCTGAGTCACACTCAAGTGGAACCATTCATCAGACCCCACTAATTAGGTGCAGAGCAGATGGGTAACGTGAGATACTGAGCACCTTTTCCATCTCCCACACGGCCACGAAATGTGGGAGAGAACATTACTTGGCTAATTGAGCCTCATTTGTCATAAGTGCTACCGGTATCTAAAGGTGGCCTGCAAAGAATTAGAATAATTAATCTTCTGCTTGTGTGGGTTTTTACGACAGAGAAAGAAGCCCTTGATGAAGATTTTAAGATGATCTGTCTGCTTATTATTTACCTCAAGTATCCAGCAGGTACTAAGACTTCCTGGCCCAACAGAAGGCTGCTGGGAGGAACAAAGGAGTTTTCTGTGAGCGCCTAATGCTTTCACTGGACTCAGAGGGCTTTCATCACGTACAAGTGCTCATAAGCAGCAGATCATAAACCAAAAGAGTTTTAACTGTCTGCCTAAAGTTCCTCCTTAATAGCTCTGGGGTTTTTTTTTCCACATTCCTGCTTGCTCCAGAGAGAGCTGCATTAGTTCATCAGATGGAAGTGCCCACACAGAGGCAGAAAGGCATTCAGGGAGAAATCTTTCTGGCTTTCATGTGCTTTGAAGCAGCAGGTGCAGTTAAACCTATTCCTTCCATCTCTGGCTAGTCCCCTCAAAGCCGACTTTTAAGCATCAAATGCCACTTTTATCTTTCCATTTTGGATGCAATCACCTAACTAGAAACAGTACTGACCAAAATCCCTGGATTATCCGCACAGTGAATAAAAAGGACACGTCCCCGATTAAACACCACTGCATAACACAACCCAAAGCCTGTCACAAGCAGCTACAGTCTAAAACATCTGCTGCTGGGGGTTACAACATCAACCAAATCAATCTTAGGGTGTATAATCAAGTTCCTCATCACAAGCAATACTCCCCTGCTCCCTCCACACAGACTCTTGTCCAAAGGTCTGTCAGGCACATTCTGCTTCTCTCCCACCCTGCTCTTCAGCTGGTTATCAGCCTCCCTGTTGAGAACTCACCCATGAAGGATGATGCTGGTGCATCAGGGGTTCGCCCGTAGTGCGCCATCAGCTTGTGTTTGGTCTCCTGCTTTCTGTGCTTCTTGCCTACATAGTGCTGTTTTGCCATAAGGGGGTTGTTGAAAGTGGCATGGCAGAGGCTACAGAACTTGTCTGGGTCAGTAATGTCCTTGTTGTCTTCATTAGAAGATGCAGTAGAGGTGGGGAGGGCAGCAGGGTGTTTCTGTGGGGGCACCGTTTCTGTAGGGTGAATCCAAACTCCTGGTCAGTCACAGAACTCATAGGTAAAAACTAGTTACTTTATTTCCTCCAAACCCACATTAAAACCAGTAACACACTACATCTAAACCCCAAACCTACCCAATGTAAAATATCTCAATAAATTAATGATTTTTCTACCTCTTCCCTTAATGCTGCAGAATTGAAAGACATGTGGTAACATAACTCAAGAGTATGCCAGGAAAACTTTCAGGGTTTAAAAAATCCAACAGATTTGCATAGTTCTCCTTAACATAAGCATGACTGTATTCAAGAAACACTGGGTATGAATGAGCTTCCACCTGCTGTTATCATCTCCCAGACAGAACATGGGCACAAGCCCTTGCACAGCAAAGGCATTCTGGAAAGGATTCTGGAAGCACCGTGCAGCCACAGGACTTGAGCCTGAATTCATAAGGAGTCTTGCCTGAGACACAGCATAAATGGGACTAGGTCTGACACAGTGAATCCACACAGGGAAGCAGCTCTTCTGTGTGGGGGAGAAACCTGCACCCTCTCACTCCAAGGTGCCAAACAGCAGAGTGAGTAACCTGCTAGGGATCAGAGAGCTCCTCTCACCAAAGGCACACACCAGACTGCTCAGTGAACATCTACCTCTTCCTGCAGGCTCCTATCATACCCAAAAGCAAGAGCTCCAAAGAACAAGAAGATCCTGGAGGTGGCTTTGCTGTGCACACATTTTAGCAAAGTCATGAAGACATACTGTGACAGACATCTGCCTGGAAGATCCCAGGAGTCAGGTGTCTGGGTGACTCACAAGTCCCCAGCTTGGAATCAGCACAAGCTGCCATCCTCAGGTGCGCTCCATGGCTGTGTTTTCCTTCTGTCCTGACCAGCTGTAGCCCCTCTGGCCCATGGCTACCCCTACCTGCCATGGACAGAGGGTGTCACTCCCCACCCACCAGGCCTTTCTGTCTGCTAGCAAAGGCATGGGACACACAGGTAGTTGTGTGGGGGCAGACAAGGTCAGAACAAGCACATACTGATGTGTCCCCAGCTGTATTCTCCCACTCCTCCAGCAATCTGCAGCTCCTGAGTCTGTGAACCTCAGAGGCCACACTGTTGTAGCTGAGCAGCCCTGGGGAATTTGCCATATCAGAGTTTCACCAGTCACTTCAGTCTCTAACATTTAATGAGCATCATACCCTGTAGCAGGCATTTCTACATCTTAACATCACACGCCTGGTCCCTGCAGACAGGGATGGGTACAATGGCTGCTGCCAGCTGCATTTCCCCAAAACAAAGCAAAAAAAATCCCCACAAAACCTCTTGCCAATGCCAGCCCACTGAGCAGGCTGGAACAGCCAGGTCTCTGGAGGTGCACTGCTGGCTACTCTATTTCATGGCAAAGAGCATACGCTCTTACAAGAGCTCACACTTGGGGTTCAACAAACACCTCAACAGCCCTTTGGGACAATGTGAAGGTGTTGCAGACACTCATACCTTCTGCTTTGGGGGCCTGCTGCTTCATGTTCTTGGCATGAGTCTTGCCCAAGTAGTGAGATGTTGCCACGGCCGGAGAGGAGAAGGTCATGTTGCAGATGGGACAACACTTGTTCCTGTCCTCCCCATTGCTGCCTTCCTGCTTGCTGTCCTGTGCACAGAGAACCTCTGAGATGCTGAGGCTGGGATGGACCACTGCAGCCCATCCAGCCTCCTGGTTTTGAGGAGAAACACTATGGTTTGGGGGTCTAAAAAAAGATTATCAAAGACATTTGGGTGTTAAGTCAATGAAGCGTGACTAGGTAGAACTTCCACGACGCAGCATCACCCTCTCCCTCCCTGGAGAGCGTTCTTGCACCAGATTACTGTTTTAACCTGTTGGCAAACACTCCAGGCAGAGAGGCAGCTCTGGCCTGTCTGGGTTAAGGACAAGGTTAAGCCTGTGGCTTCCAAAATTGGATCACGCAGCCTTGTCCCCTGCAAGGTGTGAACTGAGCAGCACAAACATCACTATCAGCTGGGTCATCTGCAACACAACACCAGCTGAGGAGGGAGCAGCAGGCAGTTCTCAGCCTGACACTACGTGCAAAGGCATCTGCTGTTATCCCTCAGCTCCCTGCAAATGCCAGAGTTGGGGATTACAGCTCAAGCAATCATAAAAGTAGAATTTGTTCCCCAAGGGAGCCACGGAGCAGACAGATGGCTGAATGGAACGTGAGGCCTTTACTGACCAACAGACTCCAGCTACCAGCTGAGGGAACCTAAATAAGTAAAATAAAGAATGCTCTGGGAAGAGAATTCCTGTGGATGGCGAACCCAACGTGCTCTGCATGATATGCAACAATTCTCCTGACAAACTGTTGCTCCTGTTCTTTCTCTGTCATTTCAAGCAAGACTATTAAAAGAGCACACATTTGTTTAAATGGGAGGACAGGCTCAGAGAGGCTGTCTGAGCAGGGAGGGCAGCAGGAACTGGGGACACGGCCTGGTGAAACACCTGCCACTGAGCTTCTCCATTTCCCTTGTTCACTTACAAGCCTGTGCAACTGCCTTTAGCCCTGCAGGTCCCACAGAGCTGTATTTAGTTCTGGTGGATCCTGCACTCACAGAACACAAGGATGGATCAGGCTGGAAGGGACCACAGTAGCTCACCTGGTCCAGCCTCCCTGCTCAAGCAGGGTCATCTCAGAGCACTTTGCACAGGATTGTATCCAAACATTTCTGAAATATCCCCAGTAAGAGGGGCTTCACATTTCTGGAATATCCCCATCAGCCGCACTTCACAGGACTTACCCGCTAGATCTTAAGACACTGTGAATATTACTTATAGACATTCATCAGGTCTCTCACCTGCTTCACCTCCAGCTTCATCTTCTTCCCGTGGGCACCCTCCTCCCCGCCGTGGATGGACAGGTACCGTCTCACCTTGTTGGCGTGTTTCTTGCTCTGGGGAAAGCACAGAAACGCCCGCTCGGTGCCTGGCCGAGCCCGGAGCTGGGCTGGGGCGAGGCGGGGGGCTCCCCCTTCCCTACCTGGTAGTGAGCCAGTCGCTGTGACTCGGAGATGAGCAGGGCGCTGCACACCTTGCACTGCGCCTCGGTGAAAATATGTCCGTTCTCCCGGATCAGCCGCTCCACTGTGGGGTGAGAGGGGTGGGACACAAAACGGGGGCGTCAGCGGCCCGGTGGGACCCCGCGAGGTGCGGGCCGTCCCTGTTCGGGATGCTCGCACTTCGCAGGATCCAACAGGGCTAGAGGGCACCTCGTGGGGCCCGACCACCCGCCCGCTCCCGGTGCCGCCGCCTCACCCGCCTCTTTGCCCACCAGCGGCGCCGCAGCGTCCCCGTTGCTACCGGCCCCGTCCGCCATGGCCGCCGTCACCGCCTCACGCTGTTCTCGCGAGAAGCCGCCCGCGCGCCCCCTCCGCGCCTAGCAACGGCGGGGTGGTCTCCCGCGAGAGCACCGCACCCTGGAAGGGAGGCGGCGGCGGACATGTTGGTTGTGGGCACAGGTGTATTGCGGCAGCCCCGTGGCGGCTCGTTTTTGTGGGTGTTTAAACGACGCAGCGCATCCTTCTCCTGAGGAAGCGGCGTCTGGTTGAGAAAAAGGCGAGAGCACCAGCACCTTAGAATGATGCATCCGGGCCCGCTATCCGCCAGCCACGGACATGGCGCTGCCCGCTTCAGCACCCCGATGACCACGTGAAACGCAGCGAAGCCGCCGCCGCCATCTTGGGTGCGGGCAATGAGGCCTCCGCCGCCAACTTGAGCGCGGGTGCGGGACCCGCCGACCGGGGCCGGTGCGGGAGACCAGGCGGGGAGGCCGCGGGCAACGGGGCGGCCCGGGCCCGGTGAGTACCTTGTGCCCTGCGGGGCATGCCGCTACCCCGCGGCGGCTGGGCCCCGGGCGAGCCGCGGGGCTCCCGGGGCTGCGAGGGAAACCCCTTCCCTCGGCCGGGGCCATTCTCCGGCCCCAGCCCTCGGGCTGACCTCCCCCAGGTATGACCTCCGGTCCCCGCCCGCGGCGGCCCGGGACTGGCCCCCAGCGCTGTCCCCTGGGGAAGGGACACCTCCCATCTCCCTCTAGGAGCACTTCCTGTGTCTCTTGCCTGGAGGGGACCCAGGTGCTGTGCCTGGGGATACCCTGGAACTCCTCCTGGACCGTCCCCTGGGGAGAGGACCCGAAAACCGGAGCTCTGCCTTGGCCGCATCCCTTGAGATCGAGGTGCTCCTGCCTCTCCTGTTCCTCTTGCCAGGCCCGGCTCCCTCCCCTTTTCCTGGGGCAGCCCCTGCACCCTCCCTTCCCTTAGGTTTGCCCGCCTGTGGCTGATCCCCTTCCCCAGAGCTCACCCCTGTCCCCCCTGGGATCCCCCGTGCTTCTCCCCAGCTTGTCGAGTATCCCTGACCCCCTGTAAATTTCCATGCAGTGCCCGAAGGCAGCGGGTTAGGAAAGGGAAAGGGAAAGGACCGTGGGTGGGTTCTGAGTCGTTTTCCTTCCATGTGCAGGGGTGAGAACGTTTTCCTCCCCTGCCCTTGGAGGAGGGAGATGCTGCGGGCTGGACTCGAGGGCGCTGGAGCAGGGAGCATCTCCCGAGAGCTCCGCAGCCTGTGCGGATGCGCCCGGCCATGCGTGGCCTCTGCAGCGGCCGTGTCCCCTCTGTGCACAGCCAGCTCTAGAAACGGATCAATCCTGTAAACAATTCCTCTCTCCCCGGGGCGCTGCCAGCCCTCGTGTCCTGCTCACGGAGCATCAGCTGTGCCCTGCGTGCGGGGTCGAGCCGAGGGTCTGGGGATGATATTTCCATGGAAGTGTGTGGTGCTGACCCGCCTGAGTGCGGGGAGCGTCGTGCCTCTGCTTCCCGAGGTGGGGGGAGTTGTTTACAAAGCGACAGCCTGTGTCTCCAACCACTCAGGAACTCATCCGGGGATGAGAGTCATTCATTTTTTTTGGCTTGGTTTTTTCGAGCATTTTTCAAGCTGTCACAGCTTGGCAGGTCTGTAGCTGCAGTGTCAAGATTTAGAATTATTCTGTCGGTAATTGCTTTCTGATTCATCAAAATGATAGATGAGAGGGAAAATGACAAATAATCACAAGTTGGGGATCTTCAAGGATATCCCTAAAAATGTGACTGGAGAAGCGTGGCATGTGCGAGTTCCTTGTCAGGAGGTCACCTTTCCTGTCAGAGCATTTACAAAGAAATTCTCTTAAATTCAGAGTTGGAAAAAGATCTGGATGACTGCAAAATGAGTCTGCAAACTGGACTGCAAAGGTAATTTTAGATAATTCAGTCTCTGGCCTTTTTTTATTTTTTTTTGCTGGGACTGAAAGCAGGTATCTTCCCCTCAGGCACTCACAACTATCCTTTCCAAGAGTGCTAAAAGCAAAATATGCTCAACTTCGCTTCCTGAAGAGGAGGTCTGTGCTCTGATGCGTGTTGTCTTCCCTCAGCTACATCAGCTTGTCTAATAAAAGCCATTACTGCTCTCCTACTCACAGCTTCAGACTAGCACAGCTACGAGTGATCTCTTACTTGTCTTGTTCCCTTAGTTACATTTTCAGAGACTCTCTTTGCCACAAGTCCCTTCATTTTCAGAAGCGTTGTGGGAGTTGTGTGGTTACATCTCTTACATCTCCTCTTTTCTCTCCTTTAAATGTTGAAGGTAGGTGACTCATCATAACTTCAGCTGATATTTCTCAGTGATCTCTTATTTAGCACAGAGCACTGAGAAGATGTATCGCAGAGTCAGAGGAGTGATGGTGATACCAGTATGGATTTTAAAAAAAAGAAAAAGAGGCAGCACAGCAGTTGTTTGTTGCTGTTGCTTTTGTTGTGGGGGTAAGAAGGTTTATAGGCTGCCTCTCCCAAGCCTCAGTGATCCTGCGTGGGCCCTTCTGTGCTCCTCATGGCTTATGAGTGAGTGGTTTTCCAAAGATAAGGGAACATTCTCCACCACCATGGATGTGCTTTGTGGGGGCAGCTCACAGCGGCTGGGTGTGAGGCTTGGCTCATCTCTGTGAGCAGGGAGGGCAAAGAGACCAATTGGAGCAAAAGATAAAAAAATTGAGAACATATAGTGAGGATATTCTGACAGCACTGGAGTTCAGCTTAGCTGGAGCTGAACAGCTTTGTTTTTCAAGAGCCAGTGCTTCACCAAAAGCAGTGCTTGTTTTTATTTTCCCTTCCTTTAATGGCTCCAGACTGACAGAGAGCAGGATTAAATTAGATATTTGGAAGAAATTCTTCCCCGTGAGAGTGGTGAAACACAGGTTGCCCAGAGAAGATGTGGCTTCCCTATCCCTGGAAGGATCCAAGGCCAGGTCAGACAGGGCTTGGAGCAACCTGGGATAGTGGAAGGTGTCCCTGCTCATGGCAGGGGCTTGGAATGAGATGATCTTTAAGGTCTCTTTCAACCCAAACCATTCTATGATTCCTCAACAGACAAACACTGGAGGACTGCAGAGGTCCTTGCAGTCACTTTGGCGCCGTGACTGCCCGTTTGTGAAAACATTCTGCTTTCAGAGGGCTCAGCAAACCTTTGGTGCAAATCATGACTCACCAGGATAATCGCCTTTTGTCTCTGGGCGTGTGTGTGCATGTATTTGCAGAAGAAAGGCTGCAGGTTGTGGGGAGGGAGCGTGGTTGTTCCTCACCTTGCTGCTCGGACTGTAGATGGAGCAATGCACTGCTGTTCTCGGCGCTGATGGGGATTTTGGCCTCCCTTAGTGTTTCTCTACGCAGTGGCTGTTTACAATTTTGTGGTGTTACAGAGAAGGGTTTGGCTCTATCCTGGGTGATGTAGGGTTTCTGTTGCATCTTCTCTTACTCTTATTTTAGATCTCCGCACACATCTGAGCTATTTCAGTGATCTTGAAGGAAGGCAGAGTGATTCTGTGGAAGGACACTGGTCTGGGAACCGGCCAACTTAACTTGCATTTCCAGCTCGGCTGTTCCCTGATGTGGAACGAGGGGCTTGTTGTTCAACCTCTGTCTGCACACGTTTAATTGAACTTCAGCAGAGCTGGTCATGCTCAGCCTGCTTTGTAAGGCTCTTTTACATCACAGTTCAAGAAGCACTGAATGTTATTGTTGAGCTACCAGGCAAACAGCAAGCATAGGCAGGAAAGGGTGATTTAACTCTGTGCCATCCTGCTGCTCTCTTTTACTGAGATCTCTTCCCAGTCCTCTCCTCTGAGCTCTTTTGGATCCAGACAGCTGATGCTTCTGGAGAGCTGATGCTGTGCATCCCTCTCCATCAGTCTATGGGCTGCCAAGGGAGGGGATGCTGAAGTACCAGTTTGCATTGTGTGGGCACCTGCTCTCAATTGTTCCATGCACTCAGGTTTGCACTAATAACACTCAGCAGGTTGCTCGCTGCTCTTTAAGCGCCTTCGTTAATGCGGATGGTTTGGGCATGTCTGGATGGAGTTCTTCCGGAGGCTGCTGCTCATTGAGAAATCCATAGTGCCAGATAAACCTGTTTTGTTTTCAGCATGCCTGCTGCCATTGCCTGTGTTTGCCCTGTCTGTAGTGCTGGAGCAGCCATGCACTGAGCTGTGCAGACGGCAGGACAGCATCCTTGAATGCACAATGCCTTTCCCCATGGTTTTGTTGAATACAAAAGATGACAAAGGGCTGTGCTGTGGTGGCTTCTTGGTCTGGTGTGGAAATGTCAACTTGATCCACTACCACAGCCTGGTTTGTTTTGGTCAAGGTGGGGGGCTGAGGAGGGGAGGTTGTGTTGGAGGGTGGGAGACCCACTGTGAAGTGATGCTGTGGAGGAGTTTGCTGTTGGGCTTTTAGAGGAAAGCCTCATTGCTTTGGAACGAGGCACTGAGAGTGGCTTTGGTCTGTGTTGCTGTTCCCCTGAAACCCCTTTTCAGCAATCAGCTGTAATAAAGTGTTCTTAACTAGATGAGTGGTGACTGGTGCATGTGGCTTCCAGTAACACTAAATCCACCACGCTTTGTAATAAGGTTTCAGTGCCTGGGGTCTTTTGCCTAAAAATAGCAAAAAAAAAAAAAAAAAACCAACCAAACTGTGATGGGAAATCTAAATCAGAAGGAAACAAATGGCTTTTAATCTTTCCCTCTGTTTCAGGGTGAAGGATGCCGAGGAGGAAGAAGCCTGCAGAGGGCCTGGAATCTCGAGGTCAGGATGGGGAGGAAGAGGAGGAAGAGAAGAGGAACCCAGCCAATGCCAAGAAGAAACGCAGTTTTGTGGATGCATTTATTGTTATATCTGACAGCGATGGAGAGGTCAGTGATGGGTTTGGGGTACCCAGAGCCTGGGCTGGGTCCTGCTGCTGCAGGACAGTGGCAGAGCAGCCCTCACTGTCATGCTGGGGTCAGGCTTTGCACAGAGGGTCTTGTGCCATTCCTTTTCTTACATATGAGATGAAT